GAAGAAAAGGACACATTCTGCAAATTGTTTAAACCCAAGTACTTTTACATTAAGCATTACTTTGAAAAAAACATTCAGCTATATTTACAATATACCAAAACGATACCAATATTTTGATAAATTGAAATAGATGGAACCAGATCCCAACATGCAACACAGTGACGTGTATCGCCAACTGCAAAAAATGCATTATAGGCACACATCTTAATCTCTCCAATACTCATAGCGAACTGAAATGTCTAAAGAATGAAGAAATAAACTTGTCTTTGGTATATTATTAAAGTAAGAATACAGAGTGATTCAGCTGAAGGGCAGAGCTCATACACCAGAGGGCTGTTAGAGAGTCTGACCCAGAGAAACAGAGAAGACATTTAATGCTAGAGAATAATTGTGGAGTCCAACAGAAACGCCTTTCTCAGCCTTGAACCACAGTGGAAACTCCTTTCTCACAGGAAAGCATGAACAAAACAATCTCACAGAAGGTCATTATATCAAAACACTGGTACACTTTGTGGAAATTATAACACCACATAAGATGAGCAAAGAACATAAAGTAATGACATATAGAGGATTATTAAAAGTCATCTTACTGTTTAAGCAGACACATCATTAGGAGACAAAAGAAATGAGCTTTGGCAGTTTTTGTAGAACAGAGACATTCTTGAGTAGTGAGCAAGCTAAGAGATCAAAACATATTTAATTTAAGCAGTTTGGTCAAAATCATCAATGTCGTCATTGTCTTGATCGGGTGGGTTCAATCAGGTGAATCATTTGACATGTTTCTCAGGAAGGAGGCAGAACATGAAGTGACTGGATCAGCTTCCCTCAGACTGATATTTACATTATATTTATACAATAACTACAAGGACACATTAACTGTTGCAAAAAGTACAACCCCGACGGTGCGTCACCATCTTGCCTGGAAATCCGTGCTGACCAGCTGCCCCCCCCCCCCCATCTTCACACAGATCACTGGAGCTGTGTGAAGTTGCCTCCTGCTTCAAACGCTCCACAATCATCCCGGTCCCTAAAAACCCCTCCATCTCTGGACTAAATGACTACAGGCCTCGTCGCCCTGACATCTGTAGTCATGAAGTCCTTTGAAAGACTGGTGTTGGCCCACCTGAAGGACATTACAGGCCCCCTGCTGGACCCCTTGCAGTTTGCCTACAGGGCTAAACAGGTCAGTGGACAATGCAGTCAACTTGGGACTGCATTACATCCTTCAACACCTCGACTCTCCAGGGACATATGCAGGATCCTGTTTGTGGACCTCAGCTCAGCGTTCATCATCCCGGACATCCTCAGCACCAAACTCACTGTATATGTATGCATGTATGTGTCCTTTGTACTCAGCTCCCTACACTATTCGCTCAATCTGTCGGTTTAGTCCAGTCTGTATATATGGGTTCTCTATACTGCAGCCTGTGTTTGATTATTTTTTGTTTTATTGTATAAGTAAGCACATCGTGAGCAATGTACAATCCAGAGTCAAATTCCTCATATGTGTACACATACCTGGCAATAAAGCTGATTCTGAAATGCAGTGACTGCCCTCTACTGGTCGAAACCCAGGTACTGCAGTTTAATTTTGCTATTTAGCTGGGCTCTGTGAAAAATGTCACACTGATGCTTTGTCAATGCATTTGTGTCTTCTAAGGGGTCTTCTTTTGGTATAAGATTTGCCACATTTGTCACAGCTGAATGGTTTCACTCCAGTGTGAGCACGTTCGTGGTATTTTAGGCTATCTGATGTCTTGAATGTTTTTCCACACTGTTCACACCAGTACGGTTTCTCTCCAGTGTGAACACGTTGGTGTTTATATAGGAGATCTGATCGACTGAAAGTTTTCCCACACTTTTCACACGAGTACGGTTTCTCTCCAGTGTGAACACGTTGGTGCTTCTTTAGGACATGTGATCGATTGAAAGTTTTTCCACACTGTTCACACCTGTATGGTTTCTCTCCAGTGTGAACACGCCGGTGGTTTTTTAGGTCACCTGATCGACTAAAAGTTTTTCCACAATGTTCACACGCGTACGGTTTCTCTCCAGTGTGAACACGTTGGTGGATTTTTAGGGCACCTGATTGAGCGAAATGTTTTCCACACAGTTCACACCAGTACGGTTTCTCTCCAGTGTGAACACATTGGTGATTCTTACAGATATCTGACGAACTGAAATTTTTTCCATACAGTTCACATGAGTGCGGTTTCTCTCCAGTGTGAACACGTTGGTGGATTTTTAGGTGACCTGATTGAGCGAAAGTTTTTCCACACTGTTCACACGAGTACGGTTTCTCTCCACTGTGAGCACGTTGGTGGATTTTTAGGTGACCTGATTGAGCGAAAGTTTTTCCACACTGTTCACACGAGTACGGTTTCTCTCCAGTGTGAACACGTTGGTGGATTTTTAGGGCACCTGATTGAGTGAAAGTTTTTCCACACTGGTCACAGCGGTACGGTTTCTCTCCACTGTGAGCACATTGGTGGATTTTTAGGTGACCTGATGACCTGAAATTTTTTCCACAGAGTTCACACGAGTGCAGTTTCTCTCGAGTGTGAACACGTTGGTGGATTTTTAGGTGACCTGATTGAGCGAAGGTTTTTCCACACCGTTCACACGAGTACGGTTTCTCTCCAGTGTGAACACGTTGGTGGAGTTTTAGGGCACTTGATTGAGTGAAAGTTTTTCCACACTGTTCACACCAGTACGGTTTCTCTCCAGTGTGAACACGTTGGTGGATTTTCAGGACACCTAATGTAATGAAAGTTTTCCCACACTGGTCACAGCTGTACAGTTCCTCTCCAGTGTGAACTCGCTGATGAATCTTCAAATATCCAGATGTGAAGGATTTGTCACAGTGCGGACAGCGATGGCGTTTTAGTCCATTTCTTCGTCTCCTTCTCTATATCAAGAGAGAGAAACACAGTAAGTCAGATGTCATGGTGGAGTGAGCTATCTAAAACCATAAATGACATTAGAGCACATCTTTGAAATCACATTCGAACGTACTGTAATAATAATAAATGTATTTATTTATAGAGCGCTTTCAATCAAAGTGCTTTACAAATAGAATACAATTAAATTACAAACAGTACAATAAAACTAGCAACCTGTCCAGGGTGTACACCGCCTTTGCCCGAGTAAGTTGGGACTGGCTCCAGCCGCCAGCGACCCTGTACGCAGGATAAGCGGTTGATGATGGATGGATGGACAGTACAATAAAAAAATTAATTGAAACACTATAAAGTAAATACCACTTATACAAGACTGTGATCATTATTCAAGTTCTGAATCGCAGCTTTTTACTATGAATAAACCTTCTGTGGTTTTGATCGTCCACCTAAGTACAACCCTAAATTTATTTCCCCATGTACAGTGGGTACGGAAAGTATTCAGACCCCTTTAAATTTTTCACTCTTTGTTTCATTGCAGCCATTTTCCAAAAATCAAAAAAGTTCATTTTATTTCTCAGTAATGTACACTCAGCACCCCATCTTGACAGAAAAAAACAGAAATGTAGAAATTTTTGCAAATTTATTAAAAAAGAAAAACTGAAATATCACATGGTCATAAGTATTCAGACCCTTTGCTGTGACACTGATATTTAACTCAGGTGCTGTCTATTTCTTCTGATCATCCTTGAGATGGTTCTACAACTTCATTTGAGTCCAGCTGTGTTTGATTATACTGATTGGACTTGATTAGGAAAGCCACACACCTGTCTATATAAGACCTTACAGCTCACAGTGCATGTCAGAGCAAATGAGAATCATGAGGTCAAAGGAACTGCCTGAAGAGCGCAGAGACAGAATTGTGGCAAGGCACAGATCTGGCCAAGGTTACAAAAAAATTTCTGCTGCACTTAAGGTTCAGAGCACAGTGGCCTCCATAATCCTCAAATGGAAGACGTTTGGGACGACCAGAACCCTTCCTAGAGCTGGCCGTCCGGCCAAACTGAGCTATCGGGGAGAAGAGCCTTGGTGAGAGAGGTAAAGAGAACCCAAAGGTCACTGTGGCTGAGCTCCAGAGATGCAGTCGGGAGATGGGAGAAAGTTGTAGTAAGTCAACCATCACTGCAGCAATCCACCAGTCGGGGCTTTATGGCAGAGGCCCGACGGAAGCCTCTCCTCAGTGCAAGACACATGAAAGCCCGCATGGAGTTTGCTAAAAAACACCTGAAGGACTCCAAGATGGTGATAAATAAGATCCTCTGGTCTGATGAGACCAAGATAGAACTTTTTGGCCTTAATTCTAAGCGGTATGTGTGGAGAAAACCAGGCACTGCTCATCACCTGTCCAATACAGTCTCAACAGTGAAGCATGGTGGTGGCAGCATCATGCTGTGGGGGTGTTTTTCAGCTGCAGGGACAGGACGACTGGTTGCAATCGAGGGAAAGATGAATGCGGCCAAGTACAGGGATATCCTGGACGAAAACCTTTTCCAGAGTGCTCTGGACCTCCGACTGGGCCGAAGGTTTACCTTCCAACAAGACAATGACCCTAAGCACACCGCTAAAATAACGAAGGAGTGGCTTCACAACAACTCCGTGGCTGTTCTTGAATGGCCCAGCCAGAGCCCTGACTTGAACCCAATTGAGCATCTCTGGAGAGACCTGAAAATGGCTGTCCACCAACGTTTACCATCCAACCTGACAGAACTGGAGAGGATCTGCAAGGAGGAATGGCAGAGGATACCCAAATCCAGATGTGAAAAACTTGTTGCATCTGTCCCAAAACGACTCATGGCTGTATTAGATCAAAAGGGTGCTTCTACTAAATACTGAGCAAAGGGTCTGAATACTTATGACCATGTGATATTTCAGTTTTTCTTTTTTAATAAATTTGCAAAAATTTCTACATTTCTGTTTTTTTTCTGTCAAGATGGGGTGCTGAGTGTACATTACTGAGAAATAAAATGAACTTTTTTGATTTTTGGAAAATGGCTGCAATGAAACAAAGAGTGAAAAATACTTTCCGTACCCACTGTAAGTCCCTCTGGTACCATAACCAGGAAGAATGGAGGATTTGCACCATGTCCACCGTCAGCATCTGAATTCCTCCCAAAAGAATCCCAAATATTAAAAAGCTCAAACCAGTGATTATTTAGTGTTCAACAAAATGAACCGACCAATCACAGCACGGAGGAGGCGGGACAGTAAAAAAGTTTCAGGCACTACAGCAAAGTTTAGAAATGTTGAACTCGCTGTTCTGAATGCACAGTTTTTATTAATGACAAGTTCATTTGCATAAACAAATGAAACAAACCACCATGTAGAGCATTTTTCTTGCACAATAATTGAATGACCCACAAAAATGAAACCTCTGTTTTGTCCAACTGGAATTAATATTAGGCTACTAATGTTAAGCTATAGTAGCTTACACTATTATCTGAAATGATAATAAATATACAAACATTTGCACTAATCAAACCTTAACCACAGTGGTGTAGGCTAATATCAGAGAAAGGTTTTATTTGTGAAACTGCTGAATCTCAATTAATAAACTATCTGTAGGCAGATTATCTAAATCAAGTGTAACCTGTAAAAGTATTATTATACTTTACTTTTTTACCTTTACTCCTCCAGGTTGTGGTTATATTTTGTTTATCAAATGGTAAGAAATGACAAGAAAATGCATAGATTTCGGTCATAAGATAACTCCTTGCCTTTACTGTACGTGTACCGGCCATGGTTACAGTCGCTCAAAGTCAGCCCGCAAAGGCCCATTTTGAGCCAGGAAAAACCCTGGTGTCTGTACCACATAGTGACAATATACTGTCTATTACATACTCAGTCACTCAGTATGTACTGCATGCTAAATAATGATCGGTATGTTATTACCACGTATGCCCGCTTGTTCACAGTGAAGTACTCTAGCATTGTGTAAAGATCACGGTTTGTTTTTTTGAGGTAAAACTAAAAAAATTACATGTCAAATGTGTGTAAATGCAGACAGCTGGAATAATTTATGGCTGGAATTATTTTGAATGTCCTGCAGGAAGTGCAGAAAAGAGATGAATTGCGAGTTGGAAAAGTCAAATGGGAAAATAAATCTCCTTAAAGAGCACACTTTTACATTTTAATCGTTTTTGTGGCTGTTTCATGGTTCTGCTCGAGGTTTCTGCCTCTTAAAAGGAAGTTTTTCCTTGCCTCTGTCGCCTAGTGCTGCTCTTGGTGGGAACTGTTGGGCTTCTGTAAATAGCATCATAGAGTACGGTCTAGACCTGCTCTTTATGAAAAGCGCTGTGAGATAACTGTTGTGATTTGGTGCTATATAAATAAAATTGAAAGTACACAGAAGTAGTCGGCCAGAAACAACAGAAGAATAAAATTGCATTGCTGAAAATGCAGAAATTTTAAATTAATTACATTATTTAAAACTCCAACCCAGTCTGTAGCCACCAGGTAAGCTCCTGTTACCAACTGGGTGCTTTGATTTTCAAAATCTGGTTTCCAATAGGGCCTATTGTGAGATCCTGTTAGATGAAGAACTTCAAAATTAGTAGATTTGAATTATAATAAACTTTATTTATATAGCACTATTCAAACAGTATATTTAAAACAAAATGAGAATTAAACACACCCAAAGAATCTGGGGCGGGAATCTCTGGGCACCTCACGACTCGATCACAATTCAAAGGGCTACGATGGGATTATTAAACCATTATCGATGCATCTTGATTTTTTTCCCCCTATACAGGATCTCTGAATAATTACTAAGCATATAATTTGATCAATTAATATACCCAAATATTTGTACAATTTGACTCGTTCGATCTGCTCACCATGTATAGTAAAAATACCTGGAAGACTGTCCAGAGACTTCTTAGATTTTGAAAAAAAGCATGATTTTAGTCTTCAACATTCAAAACTAGTTTAAGCTGACACAGTTGTACCTGAACAAGGTTGAAAGCAGATTGTAAATAAGAAAACAGACAGCTGTACACCAGTTCAGTCTAAGCTTGTGCCTGATGTTCTCAACCCTGGGAAAGTAGGTAAGTTAATAATGACATACACCTGAGCTAATTAGTATTACTTCGTTACCAATTTATCTACCGTTACACAACAGCCAAAAAACGTGCTGTAGGGGGGGATGTTAGCTAGCGCTAACGGCCTTCACTTTTCAAGCAGTTGGGGAAACTACAGACTTATTAATGGACACACTGACCTTCACTGCATGTAATTTTTTCCCCACTAACTTTCACCGTCACATTCTGCCGCTCGCTCGGCCTCACGCACAGGATACAAAGAGAGCTAGCTAAGCGTCGAGTGCCACCGTGCGGGTTAAACTCTTACATGCGTATTGATATTAATGATTGTGTGACAACACAACAGATGTTGGTCAATATTACGTTATCAACTAACATTTAAAGAATCGATTTTTGACATTTGTTACATCGACCCAGAATCTTCCACGTCCGCATCGCAATGCATCTAAGAACTGATTTTTTCTCCCACCCCTAATACCTAGTTATAATAATAAAATCACTCTCGCAGAGCTGATGGACACTGCCTCACTTTCCTGTCAAAGGTGAAAGCAAATGTTTACAACTTTGATCAGAGGATGAAGAGGGGCTATCCTTCTAGGCACGAGAAGAGAAAAAAAACTCGATGACAATGAAGTCAGGTAAAATTGTTCTCTCAACGTCTGATGTCAGCAGATAACAGTAATATGCAGATATACTCGCTCAGTATTTCATTTGTTTACAGTGAGATACTGATTTATATAGTGACTTTGCTGCTGTAAACATCTTTTGTTGCTGCTCTGAAAACACTTTAAACACAAATATTAAATTTGATTACTGTTCTATTTTTTTCAATAAATGTATCAATAAAATGCTAACAATATAAATACAATTTATATATAATTTAAATGGCAGCCGGTAAAGACAAAGGTTATGATAATTTATCACTCATAGTTAACAAGTCTCATCTCTGGAATGTATGAATAATTTACTTACTTTGTTTTAAAGACGAAATGACAATAACTTTAATCTTATTTTTAACAAAGTTTAAGTTTGTGTTACCTTGTTGCTATACAAATAAACTTGCTAATTACATATTTTGACACCAAGATTACAGCAAATGTATATGGGTTCCAGGAAAAACACCTAAATGCATAATTCTGATCTCCTTCGATCTATCAGAAGCTAAGGAATATGGATGCATTGTAAAGGATCCTATTTATTTTGCTATTGCAGACTAAATGGAGATGCAATGTAGGAACAAATATCTTTATCCTCGCCTGGTTTACACAATTTTTCAAAAATATACCGGGCAAATGTCCATGTTTCGGCCATATTTACTATTTATTAGGGCTGGACCCGAATATTCGACCGTTCGATTTTGAATTCTGTCCATCAAAGGGAAAACGAAATAAAGCCCTCAGCTGTGTGAGAACACTTTAATTTAATTTCTCAATTTCATTACCACATGCACTTGGGTCTGCTAGCCGCCATAACAAAGTTAAAAACAAAGATTTGGCAAAAATCACTTAGTTAGCCTAGGCATGAGAATAAATAAACGGAGCGCTCTCACCCTGTTTCTCTCTACAGTTATAATTTTGTTCATGTAATAATGGTTTTCATAGACGTACACAGCAGTTTTTCCCCACTAGAATAGAAGCTATGTACATCGTGCTAACCTCAACAACCCAGCTGTTGTATCCTTTTTAACTAGGCTCCTTATATCAAGGTTCATACACATTTTGACCAATGAATTTCCATGATTAAAAAACTAAAATCAGCAGGCCCATGTCTGCACAGGTTTTGTAGGAATATCGCAAATTAGACACCTTTAGCGCCCAAAGTGCCAAATATGCCGTACAGTGTTTCAAAGCTCTCTCTCTCTCTCTCATATATAGAGATAGTAACAATGAATATAAAGTTCAAGAGTATACTGTTAGTATAATGTTACTGTATTCATCATCATACACACACACTATAGTATAATATAAAGCTTTTCATTAATATATAAATTCCACTTAAACAACAGAGCATTTTTATATTCATTCATCATTACGTGCATAAATGCTAAGTTCTAACACATTAATCATCATAACCATCTAGTTCAACATTAAAAATTTGCTGTAGCACCTCAAACTTTATAGTATTAAGCCCCATCCAGCCTGTGATTAGCTTGCGGACGAAAAGTGCCATTAACGAGCTGCACAAGCAGCCACAGAGCGAAGACAAACTGAAGGAAAATCTCATTTTCAGCCACTAAACCACCCGATGACAGAATCAGCGGAGTTCCAGGTCAACATTTGCTGCAGCTGAAATTCCCCACGCTCGACTATTAATCACCTGATATGTTGTTAACCCTCCATGTACAAAAACCTCACGCCACAAGTTTTTATTTCCATCTGCAGCTGGCGTCATCAACAAGGCCCAGGACCCCCACTGACTCTCAGACTCTGCTCCCTGCAGTACTCAAACTGGTACTTTGTGCACAATACAAAGAACCAACAGAACCGTGTTGTTGTTGTTTGTCCCGTTTTAGACCAAAACATCATGAAAGAGATTCAAGCACTCACTCCCAAAACAAGCAGCGGTGAAGTCACAGTGAAGGTTAACAAGAAAGCCTCCTCACAGATCAATCAGACGGATCATTGTTTGTTCTGCGCGCTCCGCCATTACACGTGCGCTGCACCGCGCATGCGCCGCGCGGGAAAATGGCGACAGTTACACAACAAAGAAAAGAGAAATGTTTTCTTTCAGCTTCTCTTCAAGATGAAAACAGGAACCACGGAGACACTTTGGAAATCAAACCACGTCAACACAAACCCTGGAGCGGGTTTTCAGGCTCTGATCTCTAACAACAGAATGAACGGATGATACACGGACCCTCGAGACTCTTCCTCGTGTCTTTAGTCTCGTGATGAAGTCATGAACACTGACCTGAACATCGCTGCTATCAGAGCACGAGGCTGCTGTTTGGCTCCTGCGGTCCGGGTTCTGGTTCTCCATCGTCCTGCAGGTCTCCGCTGTGACTGGTGGACCGTGTTGTCCTGGACTGAGTCTGGATTCTGGTCTCGGAGCTCTTCAGGCTGAGATACAGGAGCGCTGCGGGATCCCGCGGAGTGTTCTCGCGATGTCACGGCGTCTCGCCCCGCCCCTTAGTTACTGTCGCTAAGGCCGTTTAGAAACATGGCTCCTTGATTTCAGGCAGAAGATGAAGTTTAGTTAGTTGGTTTCCTGAAACCAGCTGATCATATTTGATGTGTATGAGGGAGTGTGCTTCACACAGAGCAGAGTTTTAATGAAGCGCTTGTTATTATCACATCAGAGGCTCATGAAAATATCCTGCTGAAGCTTTTTGTACAACAAAGACAGAAATAACTTCATGTGTCACATTTAATGTTGAATTTACAGGAAGGCAGAATCATTAAGAATTAGTCGTAGACAGCGTTTCACAAAGTTTCTAAAGTGTCCTCTAACTCAACAAGTCACTAAACTGCACGATTGTTGAAGGGAGTCTGGGACTTTCTCCCCGGGCCACAAAGGAGTAGCTATATTACGGTTACTGTTTAAATGGTGAAATCAGATGAAACAGACAGTTTGTTCACAAACATCTGCTGCTTCTCTCGGCAGCTAAGAGAGTCCAAACACATCATTAACATCACAGTGAAGCTGTTTGTTCACTTAACGGGCCATCGTGTGTTTGTCCAGGTCGGCTCTCTATTCAAATGGGGATCAGCTGCTTGAAAAGGCGACTGATGCGCATTTTCACCTCTCTTCAGGTGATCAGCTTGAATAGGAGGCAGAGAGCTGAACATGTGGACATCAGCTGGCTATTCAGCTGCATTAATGAGCAGCCCAAACAGATGCAAACACAAAGCCACTGAAGGAAAACTGTGTGTTGTGAATGTAGCCTGCAAACCTCTTTAGTCTCCGGTAATACAGAAGAAATTAGAAATATAACAACAACATGTTGATGTGATGCTCACTTAATAAATAAATACTGGTAGTTGGGAATAATATTTGGGGAGGATCTCTTCTCTGTGGCAGCAGCAGGTAATAAAAGCACAGAATATAAACACACAAACAGAGAAACACAAACCTGATAGGCCTATAAATGTTTACATGTTGATTTAATTTGACCTGACAGTCACGTGTATGTGATCATATTCGGGCCACAGATCTTCTGCTGGTTCCAGACTTTTATTGGGGATCATCAAGAATATTTGCCTTTATGTTACCAGGCACATTTAATGACAGATTCTTATTCAGACAAATTTCCTGGCAGGAGACAAAGGACTCCTGTAGGGAATGGATACTGGGATTAAATAAAACAGTGGCAGACACACTAGATGGCGCCAGAGCCCACTCAGACATAACTTAGTGCCTCCTGACTGTATTTCACCATTTGAAATGGAAACTGCAGTCTCGTAACTTTTAACCTCTCTGGATGTTCGGTCAGAACAATGCAAAAATAAATAATAAGATCGCATCCCATCAAGTTAATGGGACAGTTCTCTGCTTCACTGTGTGTTATTGCAAGCATTATTTTGTCATAGTCAGTCAAAGGTTGAGACTCACTCACTGATGTGTGCGACAGGCCGGCCCTTCCCCAGGGTCCACCCAGCCTCCTCTCCACCCTCTCAGTCAGATTTTACATGACCACAGGGATTCAGGGATTCTGCACCCTCTCCCACGGCCCCCTGATCGTTGCCGGCCAGAGCGAGGTTCTTTTTCTTGGCTTAGGTCGGTGAGGGCTTTATATATAGTCAGTCGGGCGTCATCCAGTTTCTTCTGATGACTGTTTTTAGTTCATCCTTTGTCATTCAGCTGATCCTCTGCATGGTCAGCGTACTCAAATATCGTTTGAAGTGAAGCTGTTTTCCATGAAATACAACTTCCACTGACCCCTCAGTGATTTCTAGCTTCATCTGGCTCAGGAGATGTTCTTTCCATCGCACATGCTAGCAAAGCCTGACAGGTCTCCATCAGACCCTACGCCAATGAGGTTGAAGGTGTCTTTGACCTGACGTTTAGTCCAGAGATAGCATCTCGGCCACAGCAACAGTTTCATTCCTCTCACTCTCTTCCAGGTCTGGGCCTCAGGCTCCTGGGGGATCCTGGTCTGGTCCTAGAGTTTGGGCTTGAACTGGAGTGTATAGGATCCACTCCAGGTCAGGATCCACATGGAATCGGTTTTTTGATTCACGTTCTTCAGACTTCAGGCAATGAAGGATACAATGCGTAAGGTGGTGTTTGTTGTGGTGACTTTTGTTTTATTCTTACACATCTCCTTATCCTGACTGACCATATCTTGACTCTGTTCTGTGAAATTTTGCGTAAAATGGGTCATGGGTTCATTATTTTATGTTTTACTGTTCACCTGTGGAGCAGTTGCTCCCATTCATTGGTATTTATATATTATTCAAAATAAAACATATAAGGAAAATGTATAAAAAGCTGAAGCTCACTGTGCAGAAGGGCCTGAATCCTGAAACTGGTTTAACTGAGTCTGGGTCTCTCTCTGTGATCTGGTGTCACAGAGACTTAAGCTTGATTTATACTCCTGCGTAGGCCCAGGCATTTAGACTTGTGCGTCAGTATATCTGTCATTCTGCAATTACACCCACAAACGCTAGTCAGCGGTAGCGCTACAGTATCCACTTTGTTGTCTTTTGCCAGCCGAGGAGGCTAACTTCCGGGTTTCGCCCTCCGCTAACGTGAATGGGGGTAAAATTGTATACGTGTGGCTGGTTTAGCCTTTTCAAATGTTATCGACTGAATGGATCACCTTCTGATAGTGAAACATTTTCGTAATTTTGCTCGGGTTGATCCACTGTGTGATAGCTGCCGTTTTGGCCGCTTGTAAAAGTTACCACAAAGTATGAAGCACTTCCGGTTGGCTCGGAGGCATTGTGAGGCTACCCAGCTGACCAATCACAGTGCTTACGGTCTGCGTTGACTCGACATGTAGTTACATTTTTGAGGACGTGCAAGTCAGGCTACGGCGTAGCCTCTGCGTAGCCCCGTAGTCTCCGCCGTCACCTACGCCGATTCCACTTAACAATGGCCGTCCTGGATAACCAGTCATGAAGCTGCTTATGGACAGGCTCTGTTAACTCTAGGTTTTCTGAAATTAATGAAAGTGAATAGAAAAAGCTTGTGTTTCCTGATTGCTTCAGTCATTTAGAGATTTATAAAGAAGTTTAGTTCTTGTACAGATTATGAACAGGACTGAACCTCCTCCTCTTTCCTCAGAAGAGATCTGTGGTGATCTGGACTCATTCCAGAGAGCTGCTTTAACAAAGTCTGAACCTGAACTCTAAGCTGATAAACCCCAAAGTGTCAAACTCAAAGTTTCACTTCACAACAGCCGATGACAATCACTTCATCCCCTCTGAGGATGACAGTAAAAAAACATAATCAGTGGAGCTGCGACAGAAAGATTCACCACAGCACTGAGTAAATAAAGGACAGTGCCTCCGTTTCAGTGCTGGAAATAAAAATGTATGCAAACAATGCACACATATCTTTAAAATAAAGGAACAATGCAGCAGCAGTGAAAGGTGAAGTCTGAAATACAAATACACAAACAGACAACTAGCTTGGTGCAATGTTTTGTTTGGCAAACAGCAGCAAGTTAGCTGCTTGCATATTAAAGGCAGCATGTTTCTTTAAATCCTCATGAAAGTAGAAGACGGTCCTGTCAGACTTTCCTCAGGTCTTCAGGATTATATCCCTGTAGGTTGCTCACAGTCTTACAGGTTATATCACCGATAGTAATACTGATCCTCTGCTGACAGCAGCATCACATGTGGATGTAAATGTTGGGCTTCATTCAGACAAAGTTTGAGTCGAGCTTCAGCAGCTCAGTTTACCGGCTGCACACACTGCAGAGGAGGGACGCTCACTTTGTTCCAGTCATTCAACACCTGAACAGCATTTCTTTAAGATGGAAACAAAGCGGCCCAGATGGTCCAAAGCTAAGCCCTGATTTCTGTGAGAAACACTCAGTCTGTCTAATCTGTATGAAGTGTTTCCACATGTCCATCAGTCCTGTCTTTTCCCTGAGTATTAGTGTCTCCCTCTGAAGATGTGATGAAGAGATGTGAGGAAAGAAGAGTTCAGACAGTTAACACAATGTTAAATCAGAAAACAAAGTCCATCTAAACAGTTAGAGCAACATGACAGCTGAGGTGCTTCTGTTATTTGTCAGGTGCTGCTGGTTTTAAACTGTGCTGATGTGGTTTCACAGCAGCTGGTGAGCTGCAGCGTCCAATCACAAACAGGACCAGGTTGGTTTCTGGGTCACCTGAGGATCCAGGAGGAATAAGACATGAAATACAGCTGCTGTGATTGAACCTCTCTGTCTGTGTGACCTCACAGTTTCCCAGCATGCCTCAGCTGTGGAGCTGGATGAGGGGGAGGAGTTTTTCCTGCTGGCCTGTGAGTATCATACTTCCGCTACGATCTCAATCCTCCGACCGTCCACCAGCGTCAGCAGGAAGGTGATGAACTTAAAGACCAAAACCAGCTTTACAGCGGCCGAACATCCATGATGACTGACGCTCTGGAGACTGGAGACCTCAGCCTCAACCTGACAAAACTCCAGCTCTCTGACAGCGGCAGCTACACCTGCACCGTCAGAGCGTTAGGAGGACAACAGAGAGTGAGAGACATACAGCTGCAGGTCAAAGGTCAGCAACAAACCCTAACACTTGCTGTAGATACAGGTCAGAGGTCAGAGGTCAGAGGTCATGTTTATGTTTCTGGTTCCCACAGAACGATTTCCATCCTGAGCCAAAGTTCTCCTGGTTCTCCTGGTTGTTGGTCTTGTTGTTGCTGGAGGTCTTCTGGTACATTTCCGGGAGTATTTCATGTCAGGTATGTCACTACTGCTACACTTCCAGCATATGAACTTATTATTGGAGCAAAACAGCTGACCACGTGACAGTGGAATCTGTAGATGTAGAAAATATTCCCACATGTGTATCAGTCAAAGGCGTCACTTTGTGTTGAAAAGTGGCGGGGGACACTGAAGGGCTCAAATTAGAGTTGTGTGAAAACACTTAGACCATGAGCCGTGAGCATGCAGAATATTGGGGTCACAAGAACAAGACTAGATTTTTATTAAGGAAAGCACAAAATTCAGGTGAAAAGTCAGAAAATTTAAATACAATGACATATAATGCAGTAATCAGTAAATCTTTTTTTAGCTTAAGCAAAAAATTAATTTTCATAGCACTTACATTTGTTATTTAACATTT